TTTTTAGAGGTGGTTTACTCGCGGCTTCCGCCGAATCCTTATTTAAATCGAGTTGGCTTACACCCTGTAGGTCATAAACGGACCTTCTGATGAGCACTAGAGGTTCAACTGGCTGTCAACAGATAGAAGGCTGCCTTCAAAGTGTGATTTGGTGATAAAGTTCCTTCAACTCGAATGCGGTACAAAGAAGTGTACAAGGCGGCAGTAATAGCAGTATTCAGAGAGAAAGGTGATTCCTAGCCGAAGTTAGATGCGCTGCTGGAGTCGAATTTTCAGATGGTGAATGAAGTATTCTGGCGGACCATCAGCCTCTTACCAGATAGGAAGAAGACCAATCTTAGAGTCATAAAAAACAAATCCAAATGTTTCCTTATCAAGAAACAAGATGCAGCTCAGCGCAGAAGGTAGTACTTTCAGAAATTTCTTATCCCGGATCATCCGGGTTAAGGACATTCTCATGAAGTTCACGACTGCGGATATTAATTTTTCAGTAGCTGAAGTCACAGAAGTTGGAGAAAACTTGTAGCTAATGGATTCGACAAATTTTACCGTGTGATGCTGAAATCTTTAGGCGAACAGGGTAAGGTGTCGCTAAAAATGCTTCTGTCAAACTGCAGTATTTACGGAGAAGACGAAAGTCCACCTACAGTGGACTGGAGGTCTAAGGATGTAGTACTCCTACTCTAGAAGGGAGACCATACAGAGTGCTCCATTTATCAGAGCGTTGATTTACTGAACCTGCCGGATGAATGCTGTACGGATTTGCCTCAAAAGAAGTTCCGCGGAATGGCTGACACCAAGATCCAAGAAAAGCAGTGCGGCATTCGGTAATACCAAGGTACCTCTGACTAAATCTAGACTAGATCTTCTGACTAGATTTTTCTGCAGTCATTGAAGCTCCCTGATTCGGTATGCATGTGATTTATTGGCCATAAGAAATCCCGTGGAAACCCATCCAAAACATTATAGGCATGCTGGGATCGATGACCACTTCTTAAGAGCTGGTTGAGAACTGCTACTGCTCCGGAGTGCATATCATTAGGTCAAATCTTTTCAACGCTGGCACTAGTTTTCGCCATGGCTGGCCGTAGGGTCTCCTACAAGACTGGACATTGGCGACGTTTTATTTAAAAGCACATGCCCACTAATAACCCTGAAAAAGTGTCAGCTGTTGTCTACGAAGTTCAATGTAGATACAGCGACAAAGTGTACATTGGAAAGAATAACCGAAAATTGAACATCCGTATAAAAGTGCACCTTGCTGCGGTCCGCCTTAGACAGGCTGACAGTTATGGAATTGCCCTACATGAGATTATTGAAGGGCATTGTTTCAGCTGAACCGTTGTGTCTGTTATAGAAAATACCAATTTAAATTAGGTCTGCTAATAAATGAATCCTGGCATATAGTGGTCATAAAGAACCGCATGTAAAATAAATACACATCTTCCGTTGTTATTAGTGAATGCTGGGGCGCAGTCACAGAATTCATGCGAAAAATCAGGTCAAGATGACATCTTCATCTTCAACTTCCATCGCCGCTTCTCCTTTCGAGTCGAGGAGGCAGACGCGTCAGACAGTGCTTCCAACGTTCCCGATCCTGTGCCAGAGTCTGAGCTTCGGC